GTGCACATGGTACGTTTTTGTCTCAGAATTGTTCAAATATTTAACTTTTTTGGAACCACTACAAAAGTGTTACATTTTGTTGTCCTTTGGTGTGACTCCCCTACATTATATTTTTTTAAATTAAAAACTGCATGTTAAACTACATAATCGTGGAAAATTATGCAAAAGTGTCTTGCTAACCGCTAATGACAGGTTAGCTTGGAATAGCAAGGTCATTAATTGACACAAAAGACTGAAACGTCCTTTGGTGTGACAGAAAATGTCCACCGGTGTGACACCTCACACCAGAGGACAAGGTCTCTTTAAAAAGCATTTTAAGTAATTAAAAAAGATTTGTTTAACTCCTTTTTAATCTTTTATGATCATTTTCAGTGTTCTTAAATGCAATAATTACATTAATTAAACTATTTTCTGATGTTTTTACAGAAAACTTGTACTGTTATAAAGTGTCATGAAAATAAGTATAAAATGTGATACTTTGTTTTTGAGACGGAAAGAACTGAAGGAGAGAAATTAGTGGAAGAAAGAGGACACGGAAATATAGACAGAAAATGAACAGGGACCCACCAGAAGCGAGGAGATACTAAGAGAGCGATGCAGAAAGTAAATACAATAAAAATGTGTCTTAAAAAGAGTAGCCATATAGTTTAAAAAAAAAATCATTCACATCTGAATGAATATAGTTTGAATATCAATCATACTGACTGACTTTTGTTTATGACATTTTTTTGTTGTTTAAAAAACATGTTGATATTGTTTGTATCAAAAATGTAACTTTCTTTCACCTTTGGCATGTTCAAAATTAAATAGAAATAAATAATTTAATAACTAACATTTCTGTCCTATGGTAATGACACACATAAAAGAACCACAGATTTGTTTTTAACTCAAAATATCAAAATACTCAAAAACAGTTGAGTATTGCAATAGGGGAGATACAAATATCGCTCAACTTAAAATGGTATAATTTTCAGCAGTTTTGAATGAATGACAGCAAAGTTTGTCTTGTTGTCAAAGTTTGTCTTGATATTGTCCAACAAGTCATGGGGAAAAAATGATGTTAATTATAATTTCATATTAAATAAATAGTGCTATATGAAAATAAGTGTCTAACAATGAAGATAAATCTCTCTCATGCTATTTATGTATTATAAAGAGGGTTTTTTTTTTCTTAATTTTTGCTATGTCACACCAATGCAATGCAAATACTGTAAAGCGATGTAGAATCGGTGGGTGGGGCTAAACAAGCAGTGATGTAGAATCGGTGGGTGGGGCTAAACAGGCAGTGATGGCGGGGCTAAACAGGCAGTGCTGTAGAAGCAGGCATTGATGATGTTCTTCTGTGGAGGCGGTGATTATCCACACTATTACATCATAGAGTAGAACATTCCACAAGCTGTTGTTTTGACGGACTGCCTTCAATATCAGCTGTTTTTAGAATAACAACAAAGTTTTGAATTCTGAAACTTACAGGATGGTTTTAAAGTACAATGACCTCTTATATGTCAAAAGATCAAGGGAATTTTGCAACTGGAGCGCTAAATGAGTTCATTCATCAGAGGATCAGATATGCTGCTATTTTGGCTCATTCTGAGCCGGAGTGACCGTCAGGCATCCGAAAGTGAGTTTTGATTGAGTAACTTGTAGATCTGTGCTGCTTGAGCCGCGAACTGTTTCAGATGATTCAGTCCAATTCAGTGAACTGGTTCAACTAGTTTACCAAAAAGAATCGGTTCAAAAGAATGATTCGTTCACGAACTGGACATCACTCTGGACCATTTGCCTGAGGTTCTGGATTGCAGGCAATAATGTTGTAAATAATGTTCAGTTTCTTGCACAGACTAATTGTTTCACTTCATAAGACCCCAAAATATCGTCAGGAGCCACAGGTATTAATTTTGTGTTCCTTGATATGATTTTTCTTTTTTTTTTCAAAAATGGGCAGCTGCTGATCAGCATTTTATGAATGGTTTCAACTAAAAATTGTTGTTACTTTTCTATTGAAGAAAATGTCTTGAGGGTGAATAATTAACAGCAAATTTTGGGGAACTATCCCTTTAACACATGCAAAGTCGCACTGCATTGAAACCAATCACATTCAGATCTGCTTTCATTCTGGTGTGCAATGCACACATTTCACAGTCCAATCAGATGGATAAAATCAAGTCCCAGATGTTTTTTTGTTTGAAAAGCCACTTCACTTATTAGAAATGTGTCACAAATCATAGTAAAGTCAGTCACAACTTTGCAACTTAACCTGCTTTTAAACAATATGTGAAAACCGCCATACAAGAAAGAGTTTTGCGTCTCCAGGTCACATACATTATAAAGAGGTCCAGTATAAAGATGTTGACTGTCTCAATGTCTCTCTCGTCAGAGTTCAGAGACCCCTGCTGTCACCCAGCCTGCGCCATCGGCTACAATGAGTGCCAAATCGGCCCTCAACAAGGCGATCTTTATTCCCAACGATGAGAGGCTGCTGGCAGCCGTGCAGGTGAAGAGGAGGACGAAGAAAAAGATCCCGTTTTTAGCTACCGGAGGCCCTGGTGACTACACCACATTCATTTGCTTATCAGGTAACGTCTTACTGCACCACATCCCTCATTAGTGCTGTTTCACCATCACTGCTGCTCTTGTTAAGGGTCAGTGATTTGATCAAACTCCCAGCACTATCTAACTTCTCCAACACCTTTGAGCTGCAGGCATGAACCATTTCTCAAATCATGTTTATTTATAATTGGTACTTGATACTTGAATTTAGGGTTGCATGGGGATTTTAGTATAATTGAGATACTTTACATTTTTTATTAATATTTTGACATTTTTGTATTTATATTTTCTGTTATTATTTTAGTTCTAGTTTTAGTTTTTTTAGTATTTTAGTTTTTAGTTTTATTTTTTGTTGTCTTTTCTTTATTTATTATTTTTTAAATAGTTTTATATAGTTTTTATTTTAATTATGCAGCTTTAGTTATTTTGTACATCAGGTTGAACTAAATGAAAATGAGAAATATTGCCTTGGCAACTGGACAGTGTCTTTTATGTACTTTATTTGATCTAAGTTTCTTAAGCATCAACTTAAGTATTTTAAGTATCAAGTAAAATATTTGTGCTTGTTTGTAGGGCTGCACAATTTGGCAAAAATTGTATGATCATATATTTAATATGATTATAAATGATGATGATGATGATGATTTTTATTAAATATAAAAATTACTAAATAAAAACAAAATAAGTTACTCTTGTAATAAATCACTGTAAAATAAAAAAAATAGTATTTAAAATATAATATTTATTGTATACAATATAAGAAAAATAGTAAATCATAAGAAATACAAATTATTAATAATAATAATAATTTTTTACACTGCAACTGGAAAAATGACAAAACTAATATTTAATTTCTTAATTGTTAATTTCTTTATTTGAATTTGTTCATATGTTGATTAGGGCTTCTCATTGCAATTTTGGGAAGATGGTTGGTTCAAGTTGCATTTCCAAATGCATATTATCAGAAGTTTTCTTTAGTAGGCGGTTCTTGTCTAGAATGAGCTGCTAAGTGGACCAGACTTTATGGCTATAGTCAGAAGTGTGGTTCTGTGAGACTTCAGAAGTATTTATACCGTCTGCGATCTGCCCGCTTGTGATTGATAACACCTGTGTCCCTGAACGCTCAATGATCATCATGAGGAAATCACTGCTCTCCAAAAACTATTACTACGATGAGTGTGAGTCAAGTGGAGGCGTTTCCTCCCTGCCGGTGCCAACACACAGTCTCCTTCCAACTGTGAATCATGGTGGAGGGAATAGATGTTGTTGGTGTGCTGAGCGACTCAGGGCCTCGACTGCTCGCCGTCACTGCGGACTAATGAATTCCAAACTCTGCTGCAGAAAGTGTGTGTGTTTCTGTGAACTCCGATTCAAAGGAAGTTGAGTAAGTCCTGAACTCACTACCAATGAAATGTAGCACTGTTATCGCTGAAGGCAAGGAGACAAGAGATATCAGTTTTTTTTTTAAATAACCTTTCATGCAGTGTGTAACACAGCTCTAAGTGAATGAAAACATCCTGCAAAGTTTTAAATCTGAAAGTGCACCGTGTATAAAGTTATTGTCTCTCAAAAGAAAGAGTCGACTCTGAATCCCAAGCCGTTTCATGTTGACGTCAACATGAATCATTAGCATATTGCCCGCCCACTTGTTGGTCTTTTCGCATTGGTCTGGATGAAAATGCAAATTCATTCTTTGCCACTAGGTGCCGCTTTTGGAGCGGTACAAATAGTGGTTTCCCCGGTAACGCTGTACACAAAGCAGCACTGCGCTCACAAACGCTTGTTGGGGACTCCCAAAACCAAAATATGAACCTTTCATAACCCATAATAGGGGCACTTTAACCCTTTGATGCACAACCGCGGGACCCGACCGGATTTTTTGCGCCACGGGATTAAATTCCCGAATAAAACGCGGTAGCAGTCAGTAACTCTGGTGTAATTTGAACGGGAGCGGGCGGTCTAACAATATTCTGTTCTCGACGTCCATTTAGAACAGCATATCTGCGCTTTATTCTTATTGACCACCGGAACAGTTGGCGCTCAGGACTGTTATGCACGCGCTGCACGCATGCTTTAAAGTCACATGTTTTATTTGCATGGTCTGTGCGCAGCATGTGCATAACGATACTCAGAGCAGTTTGTACCTGTGGTAAATATACGGCCCTCAGACAGAACAGGTAGGTTGTCGATGAGCGACCGAGCAGAATAAGGATGGAGCAAAGTGTGGATGCGCTGTCCTTGAAGGACGTTCAACTCGGTTTTGTTTATATTTGCTTAGCCTATAATTTGAAATGAAAGATGTCATATTTATTTATTTTTCCCTGCGACACTTTTCCTACCGTTAACAGAAAAATGTCAAACGAATTTAGTATTTTGACAAGATGAATAAAAATAGCTAACAGGCTATTTTTGTACAACCTACATTTTAATTTTTTTTCCTCTCTGCAACACTTTTTCCCTATTGTGTTGTCAATGTTAAACGAATTGTATCCTGACAAGACGAATAAAAATAAGAAATAAAATTTTTATACATTTTTATTTTCTCTTGACACTTTTTTTCCTACTGTGTTGCATAAAATATTAAACAAATTTTGTTTCTTAAGATAATTCATATAAATTCAAGTCAAAGTCAATAAATTCAAACTCTTGACAAGACGAATAAAATAACATACAATTTTGTGCAGACTACACTTTTATTTGTCAGCCTATCTCTCTTTCTTTCAGTAGCGGAAATGTAAATGTGAGATTCTGGAAACGAGATCTAAATTTAGCGGGAACGGTCAGGTCGGGAAGAAAATTATTCTAAGAGGACAGCGGGTGAACAAAGAGTGAATATATAGCGGGAGCGGGTGGGTGAGGAATAGAACCTTGCGGGAGCGGGACTAAAAAAACAGTCCTGTGCAGACCTCTACAACATGGGTCTAAAGTGACCAGACAGAGATCTTTGCAATAAATTTATTTCATCATTCAGTATTCCAGGAATTCCTCAATTAACTTGTTTTTGATCATCACAAATCATTATTTTCATTTTTCCTTTCTTACTTTTTGAATAAAAATCGTTTTTGTATCATTACGCTTCTAATGCACAACATGGGTCTAAAATGACCCGTACTCATTTCCTATGTTAATTCAGTTATGGATGAGTGTTTCTTTGCTGAATCGCTGAAAGAAATGTTTCTTATCATTTATTATTCTAGGTATTCATTATATATATATTGTTTTTAATTTGCACAAATCATTATGTTTATTTTTCCTTTTTTACTTTATAAACAAACACAGTTTTTGTATTTCTACATAACGTTTACACACATGGGTCAAAAATGACCCATATAGAAACCTTTGATATTTGCACATTTTTTTCAAGTAGGACCATTTTTATTGCCACAACTCAACAAGCTGTGTTTGTATATTTGATGCATTTCAGTCTTATTTTGGAATTGTTTCATCACAGAAAATGTTTGATATACAGGTGCATCTCAGTAAATTAGAATGTTGTGGAAAAGTTCATTTGGTGGGTTTTTGTTAAATGTGAGCCAAAATCATCACAATTAAAATAACCAAAGACTTAAACTACTTCAGTCTGTGTGCATTGAATTTATTTAATACACGAGTTTAACAATTTGAGTTGAATTACTGAAATAAATGAACTTTTCCACGACATTCCAATTTATTGAGATGCACCTGTATTTTGATATTATATTTCTCTTTCTCACTAGTAGTAAATTTCAAGATCAAGGCAACCTTAGCATTCAAATATTATGTCCAGTTACCTTGATCTTGGAATGTATTACTAGTGAGAAAGAGAAACATGTCCAATACTATTAGCTAGCTTGTTGTTGACATATTCTAGCTAGCTAACTTTAGCTAGGTCAACAAAATAAAAGTTGAAATAGAAGGTTATTGTATACAAATATATATTGTCGCTGGCAAGACGGAAACCTTATTTCTACATATTTCTTTTTTTTTTTCATAAATCAATACTATTTGCCTTTATGTCTGTCAGTGTTCCTGAAAAGTAACAGCTCTGCACATACAAGGTTTCTGTCTGACAGTGACGATATATAATAAGTACATACTTGATCAACTCTTTGATGTGCATTTAAAAATATTCTTGTCCTTTTATTTTCTTTATCCAGAGTGTTAGTATGGCTGGTCCTAGTCATTCAAGATTAATGGCTGAAATGTTTGTAGAGATGCTGCATGATGAACAGGATAAGGAAGATGAGGCATTTTTTAGTCTTGATTCAGAGTCTGAAATATCTGATGCTGATGACTTAGACTATGTGCCTCAGGGTCAATCTGGAGTTGTGGGTGTAAATTCAGCTCTCCTAAAGAAGACTCATTTGATGACATTAAAACTTGTCTGATGAGGAAACTCAGACCCAGTCTAATAGATTGAGTAAAAAGTGGTCTCGAGTAAGCATCCCCCTACTCAGGACAGAACAAGAATCCACAATATCCTGAGGAGCTGCCCAGGACCTGGTTCACCAGCTGTTGATTTTTCTGATCCTGCACCTCTTCCTCTTCGATTGGCCCTCCTGTCTGGTGTCCTCCTCTAGCGTGGTGCCCATGGTGCTGCTGGACCATCAATGCCTACACCAGGGGCAGCCAACGTCGGTCCTGGAGAGCCACAGTCCTGCAGAGTTCATCTCCAACCCTAATCAAACACACCTGAACAAAGCTAATCAAGGTCTACGGGTTACTAGAAAGCTACAGGCAGGTGAGTTTTTATAAAGGTAGAGCAAAACTGTGGCTCTCCAGGACTGACGTTGGCCACCCCTGACCTACACTAACTACACTGCATGGGTGGTGAGACCAGTGCATGACGGCTATTCATCAAGGAGCTGGTCAAAGAGCTTGTCATGCCACATATGAAGAGGTGTTTGGAGGGCACGTCTCGCCTTCAAAACCATATTACAGAGTCAATGGGAAGATGTAGGATAAAAAAAACTAAATGCAGCCACCACCCGGCCAAAGGAGGACAAATTAGCAGCTGGTGTTCCCGGTGCAACAGGCCTGAACAGTG